TCCGGACGGGTTTCGGATTCTGCGAGTGGATTATGATGCGTTACCGGCGGGGGTGAGGAGGTGGCGAGAGGAAGAGATGGAGACGGCAGAGGAGATGGATCGCAAGCTCATTGCGGTGTTGGATGGGGTGGCATTCTTTGCGCCAGGGGTCGTCACATACCTGATGCCATTATTTGCAACGGCCGACGTGGTTAAAGGGCATAGCGCTTGTGAAGGTCGTTGGCTTGGTCTTCCATTCAGCATTTGTGGTGCAGTACTGATTTTCTTAGCAGATGAACTCATGGATTTGAAGAACTATCATGATCCTGCCAACCGTCGGACGGACTCGGCTCGGTTTGTGTTCCGGTATGGGGGAAGATCGCAGGTCGGAAACTCGATCAGAGTTCAGACGGTTGCACAGAAGGAGATCAAGGATCGGAAGGCCAGTTCTGAAAAAGATGAACTGTGATGTCTTTGTACTCCCCTATTGACACAAAGGGGGTCATGTGGTAAATACTGACAGCTGATAAGAATTAGAAGGTGGATGGCCTGCTGCCTGGCGGCGTACCTACAATATACGCACTACCATAGGACCCTTAGTATTACCTTTTTTGGACCGAGTGGGTCTTCCCCTCAAATATTCTCCAGTTCCTCTCACCACAAGTTATTTGGAATTATTGAATGAGGGACCTTTTCTGATCCAATCCCAAAGCCATCTACGGTAGCTTCAACGTCGTTCATTGCTGCAAATGCATTGTGTAGGTAGCGGAGCCCGCAAACGTCACCACCAGCACGCCATCAACCCAATTCCAAACTCTCTTGCAAGAGCTGAACACGGCTCAGGATTTGCACATTCCAAAGATGGAGTCGCCTGCCGCATCTTACTGGACAAGATAATTCAAAAGGACCTAGGTACATCGTATCCCATGGCTCGTGGTCGCGACACCCCATCTCATCAACGTCATCACTGTCCACAGGATTATAAGACCACACTCCCCTCCACTTTCCTACCTTAACCCTCCCAACTATCAACACAATGTCTCAGCCACGCAAAGCCTTGATTGCCATCACGTCCGCCCACGCCCCCCTCTATCCAGAGGGCAAAGAAACTGGTACCCGACCCCGCCCGCAGCTCCATCCATCTGACGAACGCTACTCATCTACTCTCTAAAAACAGGTCTATTCATCACCGAAGCCTTACATCCATTCAACGTCTTCAAAGCAGCCGGATTTGAAGTCGACCTCGTTTCCGAGACAGGCACCTACCAGCCCGACTGGCTGTCCCAGCAGAAGGAATGGCTCCCTGAGGAGGATCGAAAGGTCTGGGAGGATCACTCGAGCGAATTCCGATCGAAGCTGGACAAGCTATTGCAACCCAGTGATATCCAGGCAGACAGTGTAGGTGGAACCATCTCCCGTGGGACCAATCACTCATATCGTTGCTGTGTAGTATGGATTGTTTTTCGCCTCAGCCGGACATGCATCCTTGATCGATTACCCTGATGCGAAGGGGTTGCAGACCATCGCTTCTAAGATCTATATCAATGGTGGGATCGTTTCAGCAGTGTATGGCCCTTGTTTCTCATCTTTAGGGAGGTCGGCAACTAACGACTGGCAGATGTCACGGAGGGGCGATTTTCCCGGGCATTCTGGACCCAAGGACCGGGAAGTCGATTATTGACGGTCGTAAAGTCACGGGCTTTACGACTCGGGGTGAGGAGGAGGAGGGTGTTCTCGAGACGATTCAGAAGTGGAATAGGCCTACGATTGAGGCTTCTGCGGCGTCCTCGGGGGCGACTTGTATGTTCTGGATTCATGCTTGATTTAACAACACTGACAACTCTAGATGTATCGCCGGCTGGTCCATGGGATGCATTTACTATCACGGATGGGAGGATCGTGACGGGGGCAAACCCTGCGAGTGCTCATGTTACGGCTGAAGCTGCTGTGAAGGCTTTTGATGGCTTGTGATGTTTTCGGAACGAACTATGCTGATTTGGGAACTTGGTAGCTTGTCCTTTTAACTTGCTGCCATAAAGGGAACCTCCATTGGATTGTCAGAGGCTGAATAAAAAGGCGAAGGATTAGAAAAACTTGCCTACTCTTGCTAAGATATCGCCACCCAAATTCATTATTTTATAATGCTGTACTGCTTAACCGCCAGTGGCCTTTCAAGGAATTACTTCCTAAATCATGGATCCATCCGATTGCACCAACCTATGGGATGATTCATCCAACCAACTCGCACGAGGCAATGGAAATGCGCGGGCCTCTTTGGCCATTGCGGAGAGTCTCGTAAGTACGTTTCACTTCGGCCACTTTGCTTTCTTCAAATTCGCGCGCTTCCCGCTTTCTATCCTCCATCTCTCTCGTCTGTTCTTCATGCTCGGCTTTCCTGGCGGCTTCCTCTCTTTTCCACGCCAAGTCCACGCTGTATTCCGATGCTGCTGCATCCTGGTCTGGTCCCTGATTCTGTTGAGGTGACTACTGTTTTGGTTCTGTTCCACGATCCTGTCGTTTTCTCTCCTTTAGTCTTTGCCTGTATCTCTGTTTCTTCAACTTCTTGATATTCCTTAGCGACTGGTGGTTCACATGCGTCTTCTTTTTCTTATCTTCCGGTGTCTGTTGGCCATTCTTCTGTCCCAGGGCTGATCTTTCCTTCTCTCTCTTCCTCTGTCTCTGTCTCTGTCGTCTGAGCCTTTTGTTTAGCTGTTTCTGCTGGTCAGCTGAGAGCAGTTGGTCGCCATGCTCCGGCTTTCGATTCTCGGATGCAGTTGGATTTGCCATTAAGACTTTGTGGAGTCAAACTTGTGACCTGTTGCTCAAGAACAAAATGGTGAGCTTTTGTTTCCCGGTGCCCAGGACTTGATTTGTCGCGAACACGACGCGTTGAGGGGTCCTGATCGGCGCTCAACAAATCACCCCTTGTTTCCCTACTTGGGATTAGCTCGCTGCCCTGCCATTCCACCTTCCCCATATGGGCATCGATTTCGAGTCGACTTGTCGTTATCGACTGATCAGTATTAGTTCCATGGCATAGAGCCTTGCTAACCGGCACAGAGGGTCTTATTGTTTTTCATTCATCACAAGTGAGATCTAAACACTGCTTGAAACACTGCTTGGTGTATATATGATGCAGAACCAGGTGAAAGCATGTTCTGGGGCATCGATGGCCGGACTTCACTTTTATAAGAGCAGGAGTGGGCATCTTGGAGTTGTCGGGATATTGGTACATGGGGAGGATGATAATGCAGATTCAGCATCGTCATCCGCCACGGGCGGGCATATCATTCTAAGCACAGCAGATAGCCATGCAGCGTGGTTGCGTAGTTGGGGTCCTCCGGCATGATTTTTAGTTATGCAGTCTAGCGGGGCGAATGAGAAGATGATATGCCTTTTCCCTAGATGATGGACTCATTTGCAACCAGGTGGGGTGTGATGTCTTAGTGACAGGAACAACTTATGTTTCCTCGCGTCTGCTAGCGCTGGTGTATAGGATCCGACGCGCAGATATTGGTAGTTGGGGATGAATTTTCCAGACTGTCTCTCACTACTCTTACGGCACCCCAGTACGGTCTCTTTTGCAATCTAGATGTGCGGAAGCCCACATAAATATATATACGAAATAATTACCCCAGTTGCATTGGTGGCTGAGGGTCAAGTATTACTTCTAAACCATGATATATTAGACAGATATGAACCCAAGTTTTTCACAGTATCAAACAATCGACCCTTATATACTTTTGGCGAGGCAAATCCCCTTCCTATTCACTCCAACTTACCTGATCCAGATAAGGTTATCAAACCTCGTAGTTTTATTTCCCTTATATAATCATATATCCAAGCCTCTAACATCAACCCAGCATGTTAGCTCAGGGGAAGAGCGCCGGGCTCATAACCCGGAGGTCCCTGGATCGAAACCAGGACATGCTATGTCTATCTTTTTCTTTTTTTTTCTCTTCCTTCTTGCTTTTATTTTCTTCATCCATTCCTGTCTCTTTTTCCAATGCCTCTTTCATTTTTTATTTCTCGCCGGCTTATTTCCCTCTACTACTGTAAATTCTGCTCCGACATGCATCCCTCCCCCAGCCCAGCATATCTAACCCCACCCCAGAAGGATCTATCATAAACTATCTATCATCCCAGTAAATGAACTATCTATTTCGCTCCACTCGGAGTATTTTGTCAGAAAAGAATCTTTCATCCCTACCACAGACCCCTTACAATATAGTGATCCAACTCCATGCTATGGGTCATAGACCTGTCTTGTGAAATGTCGGGGTATATCACCATCCTGTGTCGCAGTTACACGATCACACCTAATAGTATTAATCTCTAGTCAATGAGAAAAACCCAAGATTGTGCAATCTGTCAATTCTCTATGAAGGACCCGTTGCATTAACAACTTCGGAATCCTAACCAAGTTAGTAGGAACTCGATCAAAAAGTATGACTTTTCTCTCCGAGAGCAGAGTCCGCGCAAGACACAACTATTCTTTTTGTCTCGGGAAAAGGGATTTGAGAATATGCTGCTCTACTTCCCGGACAAATTACTTTTGTGTGACTAATAGCTTCAGATACATAAGTCGCATGAACAAGACTATATGGTAGTTGTTACTCTTCCCGGGTGAGGAGGTTTTGCATCTGCCCGGACTCAATATCTCAAAGTAAGCACGCCACATTGTTGTTTGAACATACACTGAGAACTGATGTAGATAGGTGCGGCCAGAGTATGTATGATATCGTGCACGGAGGATATTTACGAGTAGCGCTAAGATGATCAGAAGTGTGGTAGGAGGTGTAGGAGTGTAGGGGTGTAAGGGGGTGTGTAATGGTCTCTATCTGGAGAACATGGGCATAGCAGGGCTGTTACGGCTTGATATATCAAGTCACGAGGACTACTACTACTACTAATACTACCCTACTTATAGTTAACCCTTCAGCAGTCCCCCAAAGATACATCCGGGATAATAAAAAAAAAAAAAAAAGAAGGCTTCTTGGAAGTCTTCTTTCCCATATGCAAGCCCTACGTGGGGGTCGAACCCACAGCCTCAAGATCTCTAAATTCTCACGTAAGAACTATGATGTTCTCATCGCAGGTTGGCAGAATAAGGTAGAAGTCTTGCGCGCTACCATTGCGCCAGCAGGGCTTTTTGGATGCGGTTTCGGGGAAGAATATTGCTATATTAAGGAGGATTAGAGGGTTTGGACGTAGGAACCTTGTCTAGGTAGTGGGTGGTGGTGGGTTGGGTTTTTTTTTTTTTTTTTGGGATGCGGGTTGTGTGCGTTTTCGGAGGAGGTGGTGGAGGGTGGAGGGTGGATGTTATGGGACCGAGGCCCTAGTATAGAGCTCGGCCTTAGGCACCATCTGATGCCTGAAGCCTCGCTCGCGGCACACCAAACTAGCACTAGTTTAACATATATAAAAGAAATCTTGTATAAACAGATAAAATAGCTCTTCAGCTATTTTTTCTTATTTAAAAATATATTTTAATTAATATAATCTATCTGTCCTGTAATATTAGAAATAGCTTATTAAAAAGTTCTAGATAGAGTCTGATTAGATATATACATAGAATAAAATAAAATTAAAGAAATAATAGAATAAATAAATTAGAAAAGACTGCAACTGATTATAGTATTTACAGTTATTTATAATAATATACAGCTTTTTTTATAGAAATTAATCAGTTTTTATATAGAAATAATAAAGTAAAAATTAACTTTTAAAAAGCAGATAAATAAATTATAAAGCTGTAATATAATTTTTATTAGCAGCAGTAAAACTGAAAGAAATCTTATACAGTAACTGTATAAGCTGAACTACAGACTCTGTTTTTAGTATTCTGATATAAAATTATTTAATAAAAAAAATAAGTATTACTATAAACTCTTTAAATTAAATATATATATAAAATTTATAATTAATAAAGATTACTATCTTACTGGTTCAGAATAAGTTTTTTATATCTATAGTTAATGTGACGGCAGCCCTATTTAGAATCATGTGACTATGTTTGTTTTATTTGCTGTGTTGTTGTTTTCTTCTAGTAAGTAAGTGTTTATAATATTTTTTATTTTTCTTTTTTTTCTTTATACTTAAAGTTCTAGAGTAGTTAGTATTAATATAATCTTATTTTATTATATTGAATAGCTGTTTTATAACTTTAAGTGTTATTCTTTATTTCTTTTTTATTACTGTATATAGCTGGTTTCTGTTAAACTGTTAGTAGTTTTTGTATTTTTAATAATATTTAATAATTAAAGACCTATCTGATTAAATGAATGAAATAAATAAATAAAATAATTAGAAAAAGTAGTTAAATCTTGGATTCTAGAGATAACTAGTAATTTTTTATAATACTATTTAATAAATTAAATTAAAAAGACAGATTTAATTAGATTAAATTTAATATTTAATATCAGAAAGATCTGAAGTAAACTTTTAAAATTTTTTTAAAGATTTTTAGTAATTTAAAGACTGAAAGAAATAATTTTCTTAATAAGTAAGACCAGTAAAGCTAAAAAATAATTATTTTTATTTAGAAATAAGATAATATTATTAAAAAAAAAGATATTTTTATAATATAGATTATTTATTAAATTTTAATTATTTTTAAAATATAACTGTTTTTAAGCTTAAAAAAGTAATAAAAATTTCTAATCTATTTCTGTTTAATAATAAAAAGAATATTATTTTTAAAAACTGGATACTGGTTATATATTAGAAACTAGAAGTTAATATTAATTAATTTATTATTTTAA